CTCTTTATTACGGACAGACCTCTCTCCATCTTAACAACCATTGAATCTACATGTTTTGACCATGACAGTTTACAATCTAAGGTAACACCAAGTAATTTAAACTCCTCAACTTGTTCAACAGCCACACCATTCATTACCAGATTCAGCTGAGGTCTAGAACTTAGGGAATGATTTGTACCAAATACAATGGTCTTAGTTTTAGAGATGTTCAGGACCAGTTTATTACTGGCCACCCATTCCAAAACAGACTGCAACTCTTTGTTAAGGGTTTCAGTGACTTCATTAGCTGTGGGGTTTTTATTTTATTTATTTTTTATTCATGAGTACGATGGCTCACTGTTCGTTGTTGGCATTTCCTGCCTAAGTTTGCCCACTTTGCCAATGAAGTAATCATTAAAATAATTGGCATCATCAAATGGTTTTGTGATGAATAGGACATCTGATTCGTTGAAAGATTGAATTTGAATTTGTTGAATTTGTTGAATTTGTCTTTCTGCGCATCATTTCATTTAAAGTACTCTAAAGTTTTTTCACATCATTCTTTATATCATTGATCTTGGCTTCATAATACAGTTTATTCTTCTTTTTGTTGAGTTTAGTCACATAAATTCTCAATTTGCAGTAAGTCAGCCAGTCAGTTGTGCAGCCAGACTTATAAGCCACTCCTTTTGCCCCATCTCTTTCAACCATACAGTTTTTCAATTCCTCATCAACCCATGGAGCCTTAACAGTTTTAACAGTCAGTTTCTTAATAGCTGCATTTTATCAATAATTGGAAGAAGCAATTTCAGAAATTCATCAAGTGCAGCGTCTGGATGCTCCTTATTAATCACACCAGACCAACAAATATTTTTAACATCATCCGCATAAGAGTCACAGCAAAATATTTTGTATGATCTCTTATACACTATTTTAGAGAGAGAGAGTGTTTGGAACTTTGGCTTTCCTGGATATAGCCACTATATTGTGATCAGTGCATCCAATGAGGACGGATACAGCTTTAGAACAAAGTTCTACAGTATTAGTAACAATGTGATCAATACATGTGGATGATCTTGTTCCTGTAGTGTTTGTAAACACCCTGGTAGGTTGATTAATAACCGGAACCAGATTACAGGCACTGGTTACAGTGAGAAGCTAACTCTTGAGCGGACAGCTTGATGAAAATCAGTCAATATTCAGGTCCCCAAGAAAGTAGACCTCTCTGTTTACATCACATACAGTACACTATCAAGCATTTCACACATATTATTTAGATACTGACTGTTAGCACTGGGTGGCCTGTGAAGTGTGTGAACTGTGAAGTGGTCTCCCTTTCCACTTACACTATTTGTGTACGCAAGTTGACACCCTTTATTTTTTTTCTACTAAGAAATCTTAACTTTTTGTTGAAGGAGCCTCTAAAAGAGTAGTTATTCTTGTCAGTATAATAACTAAGGGGAAAGTAAAATGTATTTTGGGGTTCTTAGAATGTGTTTTGCATATGCCTTTAATAAAACTTTTTTTGTGAATATTAAGATCCACCCAAGTAATTAATTAGAATTGAACCAATCGTAAAAGACTGTCAATTAGACATCCCAACAGGACTGTGTATCTGCCTTAGCTGCTCTCCACCCTGTCTCCGCCCTGTCTCCACCCTGCCTCCGCCCTGTCCTCACCCTGCAGTGCAGTCTGGTACCTCGCTAATTCCCCATGCCCTTAGTTCTGAGTAGATTTGAGTTCTAATTTAGAACAGAGGGGCTCTGTTCATTCTGGAACGCTGGTGCTTGGGATTTTGGGAATGGGTTAGTTCAGAGGCTCACCACACCACCCCCTCACCTCGCAGACACAGATCACATGCCTTGTTACCAGTCCAGAGAGCAGCACATAATGATCCCTCCACCCATTAACTCCTAATGCAATAAAGCGCTAACATTTTAGCCGTGCCCTACAGCATAATGAAGTTAGCGCGTCGTTACGTAAATGTGTGTGCCATGATAATCAGATGTGTTTCGGAGCATGATCCAGAATGCACACAAAGGTTTCTTCTTTTAAAGATAAGAGAGTGAATGTTTGTTTTTTCTGTTTATCTGTAGTCAGCCATCTGGCCACTATTTTGTGTAACGTCTTGGAGATAATTGTAAAGGACGTCACACTTCTTGCTTAGCAAGTACCGTTTCCTCCCGATTCGGTCCATACCTGGCACAAACTCAGAACCTCTGCCTTGCTAGCACACGTGAGCACCCTCCGGAAGCGTCTTACCAGTCGGCGCCACGTGAAAAGCTAGCGATTCGCTGGCGCTATTGGAGACACCTCAGGCTGAGGAGTAAGTTTCACACATCCTCATGTGCTTCATGAGGCGTGAATATATAGTAGTAGATTAGCCTATATAATCTTATCAAGTCAATCAATCAAATGTATTTATAAAGCCCTTTTTACATCAGCAGTTGTCACAAAGTGCTTACACAGAAACCCAGCCTAAAACCCCAAAGTCAATCCATTGTGTCTCTTTAAAAGCAGATTGTTTCTAGACCAGTTCATACCTGGCCGAGGCTGACAGACCAGCATTGCAAGGCTGTGCCGTGGTCATGAAAAGGACATCACAGGGGCTTAGGCAAGCAGCAGCCACGCTACCGTATGATAGATAGTCAGAGAGGGATGGCATGTTAGGTTTAAGCCTCGGCATGCATACATTACATAAATAAACAGATAGCTAGCACCCCTGGCTGTTGTGTGAAGACAATAAACCTGCCTAGAATGGGGTCCTCTCAGAAATAGCACCTCATCAAACAGCAGCCTCCCTTTGATTAAACATGACCTCCACACATATGACATACCCCAACGTGCCTGCACAAAAACAACACGGGACACATTTACATCCACATGCCGCCCTAACACAGTTTGACACATTTATAAAGGGATATGAAAATGCTGGCTAATAAATAAGGAGGCAACTGCTGGAAGTCAGAGGGAGCGATCGTGTTTCTCAGTGATAGCTCCAACACTAGGCCAGCAGCAGCATACTTGGGTATTGTAGGCTAGGTGGAATGCACTTGGCGGACGGTCAGCAGCGTTCCTATTAAACAAGTGGCCTTGACCAAACAGGGAGGATGGGATACGTGAGTCACTCTACAGGGGACAGGTGCAGAACACAATCCACATGCAGGGACTGCATCGTCAGCTGGACTGCTCTGAGTATCTCAAAGAGCGTCATACAAATTAGACGTATCATTATTAGTGTTAGAGTAGAGGGCTGAGACTACTGTGTGTGTCTGTGAATTATTATGTGGACTGCAGACTGCAGTTGGGGTCGATTCCAATTCATTTCAGGAAATGAATGCAATTTAATACATCACTTGAAAATACACATTTTAAAACATTGGCAATTTTCCGTTTACAATTGTATTGTTTTTTCACTACTTCCTGAATTGTCTGGGGCTGGAATGGCATTGAGTGAATGACTCTGGAGAATAACTCGATAAACAGTGATTTATCAAAATCACCTAAATGTTATGGGGTAATTTCACAGTTCTTCACCTGTTCTTTGGGACTGTGCGCTCAGTTTGCTACTGGTGCAGCAGTCAGCTAGATATATAACTAACCATGTACTTCCCCTGTCTGAGATCACAACAGTCAGAAACCACCATAAATCAAGAGGAAATGTTAACATTTCCATAAGCCCTGTGTGCCTAGACCCAGGTGACTCACACAAAAATCACATGTCACAAGAACTGACATGAACCCAGTGTACCCAGTAGTGCATTGATCATATTGGGGTCAGTGCAAAGGCCTCTCATTTGTTAGATGTGTTGCACATGTTTTAATCTCTGCACTATCCATATTTTTGATTTCTTTCTCACTGATGCTGAGCGTATCTATTTCTGTGTATTACAACCTACCTAGACTCATTGTCAGAGCACACACAACACAACACAGCACAGCACAGCACAACTCTCCCCTCAATCAATAAGCTGAAAAACTAAAAACAACTGGAAGCTGTACTCTAATTAAATGCACTTGTAAAAACCAAAGTGCTATGGTAGCCTACAATTAAAAAGTCTGAAAGGAACAATCATTTGGGCTCAGTCTCTCTCCAACCTATCTGATTATAGGGAAGTCAGCTGCCAGTTAATCAAGGGCCAGTCAGTCTCTTCCTGTACTCACTAACACTCAGTTGTTGTCTATTAGGGCCCAGTCAGTATGAAAATGTATGCACTCACTAACTGTAAGTCGCTCTGGATAAGAGCGTCTGCTAAATGACTAAAATGTAAATGTCACCCCGCTAGCCAGAGTGGACTGGTACCCTGCAGCAGACAACAGCACTGCTAGGAGTCAATAGCCTGCTCACACATTGTTCCTCATTATGACTCTGTTATCAATTTACAATTACCTCAGATGGATGGGACCTTGCTGCTTCATTATCAGTGGTTTAATTGATATATGGTTTTAATGTGCACATTGATGGGCAAACCAGGCAAAAGGATATTGTGAATTAATTTGAGCTTTATGTTGTGTTCAGTGCCTACTTCGGTTAGTTCATAATGGTAACCTTAGAAATAGCTGTCTATCTGCATACTGTATTCACTCTCTGTGAAGTCCACAATGTCTTTGTAGGCATACTGTTAGTTAAGCATACTGTTAGTTTATCACTCTGAATTTAGATTATTTTTCAAGCATCTTGTATTATGAGATTGAGATTTGATGGTGGCTCTGCCTTAGGAATGCCTTGTCATGCAAACCGGATATTTTCTCCATTGACTTCCTATTGCAAGTGACATTCTAGTTCATATCACGTCATTAAAATGTTGGGGTAAAACAACACAACAAATCAGTAACAGTGTTTGTATTGATATCTAGTTGTATTGATACCAAACGGGTATCAAATCTGACATAACGCATTTTCTTTACGTTGTCTCAGCAGAGCTTTGAAGGACTGGGGAGTGACAGAGAAGAGAGAGAGAAAGAGCAAGAGGGAGCAGCGGCCTTCATCTGACAGCGTGACCATTGGATGACCCTCGTTCATGCGTCTCCCTGTGTGCAACTCCCACATCACTATGAACTGTGAGCAGGACTTTGGAGACGGGGGCCTGGGTGTGACCCTCACACTCCGACTGCTCATGCACGGCAAGGTACGTATGAGGTGATGGTTTAATTGAATGGGAATATCTGGGAATATATAGAAATAGTTGTAGGAAGAACGGTAGCCATATAGTTATCTGTAAGGGATTAGTTAAGGTATTAGGATTCAAATATAGGATGTAATTACAATATGTAAATTATTTTCCTACTGACTCGTGTCCCTGCTCTGCTTTGTCTGTAGAATTTAAATAATACAAATGAGAGATTTGGTTAATATATTTATGTTGATTTAGCACATAAAGAGGTCATTAGGGTATGTTTAAAGGAGTCTATGTTTAAATATTTCAATAACTCTTGTACTTCTTACATTTCTTAATCTTATTTTTTTTTCTCCTGACATTTTTAGGAGGTTGGCAGTATCATAGGCAAGGTGAGAAGGTTTATATTTTTCTTCAATTATTTATGTTATTTATAACTCTTTTCAGAAGAGATACAGTATTCAGAAGGGCTTTCTGATCCCTTGTTATCACAAGGGATGCCTATTTTCAGATCAATGAAGACTATTTCTAGAGTTAGATTAATGTTGTACTATAAATTGTACTATAACAAAAGATATGGGAATGATCCTCTATTAAAAATAGACAATTGAAACCATGCCATTTTGTAAGTATTCATAAACCAATCTATGTGGACTGATTTTCCAAATCAGTCAATGTCTTCCCATTCTATTGTAGAAGCCAAACAAACATAAGGCATCCTGACACACTTTGCTGACTGTATTTCCCCATCCCAAATGTAATTGCTTCAAACCAACCCACTTAAAACCTTCTCCATCCCCTAATGCAGTACGGTAATCCATCAAACAGAAACATTAGTGCATTGACTGCAAACTTCCGGTTGAAACTGAGCTCCAAAAGGCATATTACTGTCAGACCCTTGTGATCAGTTTAGTGTCTGCTAGGAGGGGGTGTAGGGTGCTCTCTTCCCCCTCGCTGGCTCCCACTAGCCCTGCAGCCTTGTAATAGAACACAGGCTTAGAGAGAAAGAGGGAGAGAAAGCAGGAAGAGAGGGATAAAGAAATATGGGGAGAGAGAGAGAGTGAAGGGACGACAGGGAAACCGATACAGAGGGGATGGGAGATTGAGAAAAAGAAGGGATGAGAAACAGAGAGGGAGAGAGAAAAGACAGAGAAAAAAGGGGATAAATAGATATGGAGAAGAAGTGGGAGGGTGAGAAATGCTGTGTGTGGCTCATGCTGTGCTGAGACCGGTAACCAGGCTCTCCATCCAAAGCATGTGTGTTAATAACTCCATTCTCCCTCCTCTCAGTCCTCATCTCTATCTCTTGGCTAGCCTTCAGACCAACATCCTCTACAGTATCCCAAATTACACACTAGCATGCTATTTAGTATGAAATAACAGTGTGGCTAAGTACACAAAATAGTATGGTAGTGTTTCTATTAGAAAACATCCAGTTGTCAATGTCATGGGTGTAGGAGGTGGAATCATTTGGAAGCAGGAAGAGAGAATGACGGGCTGAGGCAATCTAAAGCTGGCAGAGGATGTATGACAGAGATGTGACTTAATTCTACTCCTGAGCTTGGGTGGTGTGACTGACTGGCTGGCTGGCTAGCTGGCTGCTGGCCACACAGAAAGGATCTCACTAGGACAGGACAGACATTAGTCGATAATAGAAGAGTAGATATAGATGTGAATAAAAAGAGCGCAGATTGAAGTGAAAAGGGGTATATATTTGATACATTTTGGATGTGATGAGAATACTGTATATCAGTGGCCTTGTGCTAAACATCTCAGACTGAAAGAGCACTCTACTTTTCTATTCCATGACAGCTTAGATTACTTCTCAATGGAGGGGAAATGTAGTCAATGTGAAGAAAGTTATCCGATTAATAGGGATTGGAAGATCAGGCAGATTTCCATCTGCAAGTTGAGGACACACTGGGGGGGACTGTACTTTTTAAACAAACCACACACACTTCAAAGTTGTCTTTCATCTTCCTCTTTCACAGAAAGGAGAGACAGTGAAAAGAATACGGGAGGAGGTATGTTACCAACTTCCTATCTATTAACACTGTCCATCATATGTGTAAGAGTACTCCACATTACCATAATGCATTCAAAGTAAAGCCTGTCATTGATTGATGAAATACATGTATATCATCTAGCTCCAAAGCAATCAATATCACATCTGGTTTCTGCTTCAATATGCATTATTTATCTGGAATCTTTATTTTCCGGTTATTGTGTAGTCCAGAAGAGTACCGTCACGAAAAAGGTTATAGTTCAAGGCAAAACATAATCAAACCGGAGACAGTGTCTAATATTGTTTGCAATGCATGGTGTAGAGTTCCATTAATATTAAACCCAAACCCTCTCTGGATGTTTGAGAAGGTTGACTGGGATAGCATACAGAACAGCCTCATAGTCTGACCATTCTTCTCTTTCAATTTAACATCTCTCCCTTTTTCACATTATCTCTCCTTCCATCCCTTCTCCTCCATTTCTGCCTGTATCAAGCTCTCTTTCTTTCTCCCTGTCTCTTTTTACTCTAGGTCTCTCTTTCCCTCTCTCTAATTTTCACTTACTCTCAAGCTTTCTCCCCCCCCCCCCTCCCCCCTTCTCAGTTTGTCCTTTTTTTTTATCTCTCCCTTGTCTCCTACCCATCTCTCTCCCTTTATGTCTCTCTCTTATTTCTCCCTCATAAACCTCAAGGGTGCAGTTGATCCGATGGCGCTTGATTAACTCTGTACAAAAAGTAATTAGATTGCCATTGTGTTGGTTCTCGTCCCTCTGACTCCTGATGCAAAGCTATTACATTTGACTTTATGAAGCAGAATGATAAACATAGGTGGTTAGACTGAGGGGGCATGTAGACTTATATAGCCACTGGATTAGTCTGCCAGTAAACCAGTCATCCATGCTAGTCATCCGTCCACCCATTCCGTCAGTCAGTCAGACGAATAGGCAAGCCTTTAATTAGTTCCCCCTATGTGAGGCTCTCTGGCTTCCTCCCCAGGCCCTCTCTGTCCCCACGGTGTCAGACTGACTCAGTGGGATGACTGTAATAAACATCACAGAGGTTAAAGTACCATCATACCTCTACTACACACGTGTCCACTCTCCAGTCCACAGGGCTCTGGAGATAAATGAAATGACAATGGATGGAGGGATCAGAGTACCAGCCTGGGGATAAGTTACAGCGAGGTCAATTCCCTGTATGATGATCTAGCTATTTATTGATAGTTATCTGTAGGACAGGGTGTATTTACTGGTCCGGAGTTTGCTACATTTGACCTGTTCTTTTGATTTGTCCTTCATCCCAATGCCTCTTTTCCCATTACTAATACCCCTTTCCATTTACTTTATTTCCTTACTCATGCTAATTCCATTCTGTCCTCGTTACTTTACTACACTCTTGCCTGTGGCCCTCACTCTATTCACTCCATCCACCCGAACATGTGCTCTGCTCTCACCCTTTTACCTCATCTAATAGAACGTCAATAAAGCTGGACCCTGGTTCTTGGTCTGTCTCCCTACAGAGCAGTGCGCGAGTCAACATCTCAGAGGGATCGTGTCCAGAGAGGATCATCACCATCACCGGCTCTACAGACTGTGTCTTCAGGGCCTTCACCATGATCACAAACAAACTGGAAGAGGTAAGACAACACAATCAGTGTTTCCCTTAGAGATTTTCTTAGGCGGGGCACAGCTGCCCCTCGGCTTCAATTGATTTGATATAGAATTTCCTGGTCTCCAATTCGATAATATGTTTTTATTTATACTGTACAGTTCATCCTGCAAATTGAAGTTATCGTTGAAAATCATTAGTCACATTTAATAGCAAGGTTTCCTCCCAGGTTGGCTTCTACTGCAGATTAATTTGACGTTGGATACAAGTTAGACTTGGTGCAAGAGCCTTCTAGTTTCTCATTATAATACTGCAGTGTGAAGTAGCTAGCTAGCACCGGGCCTTTTATGCAGCATAGTGACTTATTCAATTGAGCTTCGCATTGGAACAGCCCAGACAACTGGAAAGGAACAGGCGAGTGGCTCCATGTCTTTTATAGACAGTATATTGTATTGAAGGAGAACATGCGTCAGTGCTCCAGGTCTGTTGACGAAAGAGAAGATGATAATATGTTAACATGCTAATTATTTAAACAGATGAGGTTTGTGTTTTATCCCTTAATGTTCATATTTATCCATCAACAAACTAGTTAACATTGTAGATTCAGGGACATTTTGGTTGGTCTAGCTGCAGATACTAGCTTTGGAACAGTCGTTCCCCGCATAGATGGGCCGACGGAGCCTTGTTTCATAGCAGTCAGTAAACACACGCTGGCTGGGAACGCGCCGAACTGCATTCATTAAAGATTTTAAGCTCTCACCTCTTCCCAACCCTACTGTCAGCCGAAACTCCCCGAGTTGTCATGGCAACCTGTTGGCTGACCTACAGCGGCGTGTCTCTCACCATGCCTGAGTATTATGTGTCTGACATCTTTAATTAAAGGATAGAAAGAAGAAAAAAAACATCTCAACTCGTTTTGGCCAATGGGTAAAACATTTATATTGTTCTCTACTATTTACTGTTATTAAAAGGCTTCACTACCGTAGCTAGGGGATAGATGGTCTAAGACTATAGATTCTAAGTAGTTCTCATCATTAATTTGATCATGAGGATTTAATCATTAAGGCGGTCAATGACATTTATTTTATCCAGTCATTATATGAGCACAGGTAAAGAGAGTTTGGTAGAACGGGCAGAACGGCTGTGCCTGTAGCGGGTAATTTGGACAGAGTCAGGCGCGGAGGTGTAAATCACAGAATAATGATTTCTTCAGCCAATACAGCGGTTCGGAGCAATGCGCAAAACAACGGCGTACTGGGGAAAACAAAACACACGGGTGAATATCCCGGCGTTAAAGTACATAATGCTCCACCGAGCTATTGACACCTCCACATGGAAACAATCACACACAAAGACATGGGGGGCAGAGGGAATACTTATACAGGGACTGATGAGGGGATATGAACCAGGTGTGTGTAAAAACAAGACAAAACAAATGGAATGATGGGAAGGGGAGCGGCAGTGGCTAGAAGGCCGGTGACGACAAACGCCAAAGACTGCCTGAACAAGGAGAGGAGGCAGCTTCGGAGGAAGTCGTGACAGTGCCTCTCTAATCACAAAGGACCACAGTTCAGTGCTTGGTATAACTATTTCACTTGATTTGTTGCTCCCAAGAAAGGAAATAGAGCATTTATTTGCAGCAGGTTAGTCATTCTCCATTGATGTCTTATTGTCCTAACCACAGCATACACGGGGGATTAAGCCCAGAGCCTCTTTGTGTGACTGCAGCTTCTTGTAACCCCCGGACGTATTTCCGCCAATTTGCTTTTGAAAGTCGTTCACTGAGTTTGGTGAGTGGGGAAGGATCGGGCCATTCACAGTTGTTATAATATGACGCATATTTTTAGATCAAATCTGGGAGATGATGCCCAGAGCCCTAATGAGACAACAACCTACCAGCCATGCAGCCGCCTCACTTAATAAAGACACTGAGAGAAAACCAAGCGTCATAGCCGCATTAGATAGATACATGGGTTTTATATTTAAAAAGTAGGCCTACCAGAACTGTTGGGGAAATAAATGTTTTTTTTTCTCAAATCCCCTGGAGGGCACCTCTGTAAAGTACATGAAATTAATATTATTATTGCACACCGACTAGCTAATGCATTCTGTTTGAAATACATGCGATGTGCTTTCCATTCAGAGAGAGAGAGAGAGAGAGAGAGAGAGGAGAGAGAGAGAGAAGAAGAGAGAGAGAGATAGAGATAGCGAGATAGAGAGATGAGATAGATAGATGTATCGAGCGATCTCTCTCTCGCGCTCTATCTCGTCTCAGCTAGCTCGCTCTCTCGCTCTCTCTCTCCTCCTCACTCCTCCGCCTCTCTCGCTCCTCATCTCTCTCCGCCTTCTTTTGCCTCTCATCTATGGTCGGCTCAGAGACTGCGATTTACATTTCAAAGGGAGCCTGACTGTTAATTAATTATCAGGTCATTCTCTGCCCACACTGGATTGAAGGAGAGGCTATTTACTACCTGGTCAAATGAAGGAAAATAGGAAATGGCGATGACTGAGGCCAAGGCTTTACCTTTACAGGGCCACTTAAGGGCCCCATTCAATCAAAGTCGTAAGTGGGGTTTTGGAGATTTTGCCATCAGTGATTTATCATCCATCCTTCTCTCTCCCTCTTCCTCTGTCCCTCCCTATCTTTTCCCCCTCCTTCTCTCCCTCTCCCCAGGACCTCACTACACTGGTGGCCAACGGCACCATCAGCAGCAAGCCCCCAGTGACCCTACGACTGGTCATCCCAGCCAGCCAGTGTGGCTCCCTCATCGGCAAGGGAGGGGCCAAGATCAAGGAGATCAGAGAGGTGAGAGACTAATACAGAATGGCTGCAGATGCAGGATCTTCATTTGAGCCAGTTTTCTGCAGCAGGAAAATAATCCTGCAAATGTGAATTATTATGTGGATTATAATTAATGGACATTTTTGTAGAGGTTGATACCTTTTTCGTAAGGGAAAATCAAGTCTGACATTTCAAATTGGAAATTACAAACTTCAGAAGCCTTTTTAAACCTCAAATACACTACAAGTAAAGCATTACCTGCATTGCAACAGGGCGATCAAGGCAAGAAACAAGACTCTTAACAGTTAGAAAAAGGCAGCCATTTCACTTGACTGTAGAGTGGGGAGTTAGCTAGTTCCTTCCCTGATCAGCGCTCGAGGCAACTATATGCCAGTCTGTTTCATGTCTGGTTTGTGTTTATTTCAAGGGCACCAAGTTTCTATCGGGAACCTTACACGATATCCTGTGCTCAGGATGCACTATGTCCTCTGTTTGTTCACATAGAGATGCTCTGTTATTTGATTTTACTGCAAGCTGATTTTCTTTGCAGATCACTACAATTTGTATGCAGGTCTTTTCATCCATCCATGACCACCCAATGTTTAGTGCTAAGCTTTCATCTCTATTAGGTCAACAAACCACAGAAGTGGACCCAAGTCAGTGTGATTATTAGAATGCCATATCTTTCTGAATCAATGTAATCCTTTCTTTAATCCGCTATCATTGGCAGAGCACTGGAGCACAGATACAGGTGGCAGGGGATTTGCTACCCAACTCTACTGAGCGAGGGGTGACGATATCGGGGAGTCAAGACTCGGTAATCCAGTGTGTCAAGCTAATCTGCACAGTAATCCTGGAGGTAGGGTGACATTTCTCTCCTTCTCCCTTTCCTATCCTCCTCATACACACACATCCATAACCAAGAGTGGAATTCAATCAAACCCACACTCCACTGCCACTGGAGTAACAATGACAATGTATCTGTATTTTCGTAGCACTAGAGCAATGTTATATTTGTCCAGCCTGGGTGTTATCCATAGAGTTGATTTGATTGAATTACTGCCATACCAAGAATACAATTAGGAGGTGATAATATAATCTTATTTACTGTTATACTAACCTGAGCCTTAGGGAAATGTGGTATCCTTCCTGAAGAGCCAGCTATTCTCCTCGGCTCAGTACACATTAGTCAGGATCCTCTGTTTTGACCCTGTTTGACCCTGAGACGAGCTGGTCACAGAGGAAAGCACCCTGGCTCAGAAAACAAACTGACCTGCAGCAAAGTGTGTCCTCCTTTAAACAACTGCTCTCTTGAGAAACAGGAGTGGTGGAAAGGGGAAAAACAACCCGAAGGATTATTTCCCTCCAATGCGTACATGCCGGCCTTTTTGTTTTTGCATTGCAGTTGGACCGTACTCCCTAATTGCTAGTTTGATCCAGTTTTCCAGGGCTTTCTTCAAAGGCTTGCAACTTTCATTAGGATTCTCTTCCAGTGCGGCCTTCAGGATGTAAATTATGCAAAGTTATACAAAGAATCGGCTTTGACTGCTCCCACAGAAAAGATGCTCTACATTTCCAGAAAACCCTGCATCCTTATGATAAGTTATACAACTTCCTGTGTATTGTTTTACCCATTTTTTGTTTCCTTTTGTAATTGGCAAGTTCACGAGTTTTCTCTGAAGGGGACTAGGTTTTTGTCAGTTAAGTGTGTGTGTGTGTGTGTGGGTGCGTGTGTGCGTGTGTGCAGTGCACCCGTTTGAAATATCCAAAGGAATGTTGAACAACTTGAGCCGAAGGCTGAGATTACAAACTCAAGAACAATCCAATCAACCCTAAAGAGCTGCCGTTTCAATGGTTGAACTGTTAAATGAATGACTAATGTCATCAGTAGAAAAACAAAGGGACAAATGTCATGTAACTGTCATTAGCAGTTTAATACACCATTAATTGTTCTCATGTTTTATGTGCTTAATAGTTCAATGCCATTTGCTCCATTGCTTTCCCTCCCACACAACATAAGTGACACAACATTAGCCAGATTTAAAATAAAACATCCTTCACACAAGTTTTGACTTGCATCTGTCGTATTTATTTTGGTGATAAAAGTGTTTCGATATCTCACAACACCAGACCCCTTGACCTATGTTTGACTCCCCAGTCTCCCCCGAAGGGTGCTACCATTCCCTACCGGCCCAGCCCCTCCCCAGGAGCCCTCCTCATCTCTGGCAACCAGGTGAGAACACCACAAACCCATCCACACCCTGTATAGACATATCATGTGAAAAATAGTCCAGTGTACTTATTGAGGGACTTTAGAGCACTATTCTATGTAAGATCCTTAGTTATGGTTCATGACGCACCTCAGTGCCACCCCACGACTCAACCCATTATGAAGATATGAGGCCGTTTTGCTACTTGGGGAGATGAGATTGTGGGTGGGGGTGATGTTAGGATGAAACATTTTAGCCACTCAGTCTATAGACCTCTAGCGTTTGGCTCGACTGCAGTGGATCCTGGCTGCTATGCCTGCCTGCGCTGGTGATCCAAACCTTGTTACAGCAAATGAGCTGTCTGAGCCTTACTCTCAAATGTTTGATATGGTATTGTGTTGAGATAGCACTCATAATAACATATCAAATTAAAGTGCAGGGTGTAGCTATGGTCAGAGGAAGATGAAGCGCTTTAATGAATCCAGAGCAGTGATAAGGAGTATTTGTGTAACTTGTCTGAGGATAAAAATGAATAGGAATGGGAAACTCTGGATGGTGATTCATACCGTAAGCCAGTTAAGTGTGTGTGAGAGAGTTTGACATGGAGCTCCAAGGACCACTCCAGTCAATAGAATTAAGGAAGGAAGAAAAAAAGGATATGTTATTTTATATTTCAGTGGAACAGAAGGGGTTTTCAGTGATATATTTCAGTTGGAAAATGAATGTAGTCAGTGGGAATTTCCCATATTTGTATGGTTTTATGATGTTGAAAGTGCTCTGGGATGACACTTTGGTAGGCTAGTTCTCGTTGATTCATTACATGATTTTAGCTTTTATGTTTTACTATTAGTATGTCTTCTTAGCTTATCCTAGATAAACTGTGTTTACAGTATGTAAATAATGAGCTCACTAACATTATCTGGTGAAATAAAGGTAAATAATAGTAATAATGTATGTTCCCTGTGTGTATGTTTAGGTGTTTGAGGCGTCAGACTTTTCCCCCCACCCTCTGTACTCTCTCTCCCAGGGTGGTCTTGACCTGCAGCAGGTGAGTGTCAGATGATCTGATGTCACCAACACCTTTAACTGTGAATAGTTCACTCTAAAGTCAACCTTTTCAAACATTTTCATACCTCAAAAGTGGTCTTAAAGGGCAATTTCATTATATCCAGCACAATACCATTGTATACAGTTGAAGTCGGAAGTTTACATACACTTAGGTTGGAGTCATTAAAACTTGTTTTTCAACCACTCCACAAATTTCTTGTTAACAAACTATAGTTTTGACAAGTCGGTTAGGACATCTACTTTGTGCATGACACAAGTCATTTTTCCAACAATTGTTTACAGACAGATTATTTCACTTATAATTCACTGTATCACAATTCCAGTGGGTCAGAAGTTTACATACACTAAGTTGACTGTGCCTTTAAACAGCTTGGAAAATTCCAGAAAATTATGTCATGGCTATAGAATCTTCTGATAGGCTAACTGACATCATTTGAGTCAATTGGAGGTGTACCTGTGGATGTATTTCAAGGCCTACCTTCAAACTCAGTGCCTCTTTGCTTGACATCATGGGAAAATCAAAAGAAATCAGCCAAGACCTCAGAAAACAAATTGTAGACCTCCACAAGTCTGGTTCATCCTTGGGAGCAATTTCCAAACGCCTGAAGGTACCACGTTCATCTGTACAAACAATAGTACGCAAGTATAAACACCATGGGACCACGCAGCCGTCATACCGCTCAGGAAGGAGACACGTTCTGTCTCCTAGAGATGAACATACTTTGGGGCGAAAAGTGCAAATCAATCCCAGAACAACAGCAAAGGACCTGGTGAAGATGCTGGAGGAAACAGGTACAAAAGTATCTATATCCACAGTAAAACGAGTCCTATATCGAAATAACCTGAAAGGCCGCTCAGCAAGGAAGAAGCCATTGCTCCAAAACCGCCATAAAAAAGCCAGACTACGGTTTGCAACTGCACATGGGGACAAAGATCGTACTTTTTGGAGAAATGTCCTCTGGTCTGATGAAACAAAAATAGAACTGTTTGGCCATAACGACCATTGTTATGTTTGGAGGAAAAAGGGGGAACGCTTGCAAGCCAAAGAACACCATCCCAACCGTGAAGCACAGGGGTGGCAGCATCATGCTGTGGGGGTGCTTTACTGCAGGAGGGACTGGTGCACTTCACAAAATAGATGGCATCATGAGGAAGGAAAATTATGTGGATATATTGAAGCAACATCTCAAGACATCAGTCAGGAAGTTAAAGCTTGGTCGCAAATGGGTCTTCCAAATGGACAATGACCACAAGCATACTTCCAAAGTTGTGGCAAAATGGCTTAAGGACAACAAAGTCAAGGTATTGGATTGGCCATCACAAATCCCTGACCTCAATCCTATAGAAAATCTGTTTAGGACCTTTCTTTATAACTACAGACGACACATACAGTGCCTTCAGAAAGTATTCATACGCCTTGACTTATTCCACAGCCTGAATTCAGAATGGATTAAATATATTTTTTTTGATCTTACCCATCTACACACAATACCCCATAATGACAAAGTGAAAACATGTTTTTAGAATGTTTTGCAAATGTATTGAAAATGAAATTTACATGAGTATTCACACCCCTGAGACAATTCTTTGTAGAAGCACATTTGGCAGCAATTACAGCTGTGTCTTTCTGGGTAAGTCTCTAAGAGCTTTCCACACCTGGATTGTGCAACAATTGCACAATATTATTATTAGTTTTTAATTCTTCAAGTTCTTTCAAATTGGTTGTTGATCATTGCTAGACAACCATTTTCAGATCTTGCCATAGATTTTCAAGTAGATTTAAGTCAAAACTGTAACTCTGCCACTCAGCAACATTCACTGTCTTCTTGGTAAGCAACTCCAGTGTAGATTTGGCCTTGTGTTTTAGGTTATTGTCCTGCTGAAAGGTGAATTCATGTACCAGTGTCTGGTGGAAAGCAGACTGAACCAGGTTTTCCTCTAGGATTTTGTCTGTTCTTAACTCCAGTCCGCTTCTTTTTTATTCTGAAAAACTCCCAAGTCCTTAACGATTACAAGCATGCCCATAGCATGATGCAGCCACCACTATGCTTGAAATATGGAGAGTGGCACTCAGTAATGTGTTGTATTGGTTTTGCCCCAAATACAAGACTTTGTATTCAGGAAAAAAGGTTAATTTCTTTGCTCCATTTTTTGCAGAATTACTTTAGTGCCTTGTTGTAAACAAGATGCATGTTCCTTCTTTCACTCTGTCAATTAGGTTAGTATTGTGGAGTAACTACAATGTTGTTGATCCATCCTCAGTTTTCTCCTATCACAGCCATTAAACTGTGTAATTGTTTTAAAGTCACCATTGGCCTCATGGTGAAATCCCGAGCGGTTTCCTTCCTCTCCAGCAACAGAGTTAGGAAGGACGCCTGTATCTTAGTAGTGACTGGGTGTATTGATACACCATCCAAAATGCAATTAATAACTTCACCATGCTCAAAGAGATATGCAATGTCTGCTTTTTTTTACCCATCTACAAATAGGTGCCCTTCTTTGCGAGGCATTGGAAAACCTCCCTGGTCTTTGTGGTTGAATCTGTGTTTGAAATTCATTGCTTGACTGAGGGACCTTACAGATAATTGTGTGGGGTACAGAGATGAGGTAGTCATTCAAAAATCATGTTAAACACTATTATTGCACGCGGAGTGAGTCCATACAACTTATTATGTGACTTTTTATGCACATTTTTACTCTTCAACTTATGTAGGCTTGCCATAACAAAGGGGTTGAATACTTATTGACTCTAGACATTTCAGCTTTTCATTTTTAATACATTTGTAAAAAATATATATATAAAAAAGAACATAATTTCACTTTGACATTATGGGGTATTGTGTGTAGGCCAGTGACCAAAATATAAACATAATCCATTTTAAATTCAGGATGTAACACAACAAAATGTGGAAAAAGCCAAGGAGTGTAAATACTTTCTGAAGGCACTGTATGTAGACACTGATATGGTGCTGGAGATAATGAATATGAGGTTGAAAAGTGATGGAATTTCTCTTTAAGTAGAACTGTTGAAGGGTGATTGGGTGGTAGAGGGCTTTGGAAGTGGATGTGGGATGTCAAAAAGTGGGTAGCATTGGCATGAAATACTAGAACAACAGCTGAGCCTAATCTGCAGCCATTGTTCCAACATAGCATCACAAACATGACAGCTGATGTGACTAGATACCACAATACACTCCATTAACCCTCAACCAACCATTTTATATTACCCCCTTATCGTATTACTCTAGCTATCACAAAGGCTATAGGGGCCTAACGTTTCTATCTCCTGGCCCTACTCTGTGCATACATATAATATAAATAGGAAGGAAGGTGATGTCCACTGTTGGCCTGATGTTATCGGAGAGGTGAAACAGCCTGTGGTGATTCTCACACCTTAAGTAGCTACTGTAATAATCTATTTCAGAATGGCTCTGGGAGCCTCCCTGCTGCTCTTCTGATACAAAGCTGAACATACAATTATGAAAAACACAACAACATTTCCAGTAGTTAGATCAGGTCGATTATGATTATTGATCCTGCTGTATCTCTTCTAGTGATAACAATATGACAGTATTACCAATGATTTGACATGGTTTCCTGTGCTTAGAGTTGATTGTGTATGTCGTTTTGGTGCATAATAGGGGATTGCATCTAACCTCTCCATGGAGCGGTACTACTAGCCAGACCGCTGCCGTCGGTCAGAATTGAGTTTAGCTAAGTGCTGTCTGGCCTGACAATGGGGCTACATGGGCACCACCCTGACTTATGAGAGAGAGAGAGAGAGAGAGAGAGAGAGAGAGAGAGAGAGAAGAGAGGAGAGAGAGAAGAGAGAGAGAGAGGAGAGAAGAGAGAGAGAGCTCGCTCTCTTATAGCATATCGCTCGCTCTACTCTCTCTCTCATCTCTCGATTCTCTCCTCGCCTCCGCTCTTCTCTCGCGTAGCCCTTCTCTCCGAGAGAGAGAGATTATCAGAGGCACATTACAGAGTATGAAGGTTGGTTAAATGGCACCCTGCTGTGAAGATTGCGGACCCCTGATGATGTCCAATCTGGACTGATGTGCAATCACATTAAAGATGATGGAAACACTTTCTATGTGCCACCTGTGTTGTGTAAGACATTATGGATGCATTTTACGGGTTTATATAGGCTGTTATAGAGCCACAAGATATACATTCCTGTAGCAAGTGTATAATCTTCAATAACCACTTTCTGCAATACACAACAAATGCATTTAAATGCATTTTTGTATTTGCTTCCACATACTTAGCCAATGTTGATGTAGTATACTGTATAAATGTTAACATATCAGTGATGCATATATACAGTTGAAGTCGGAAGTTTACATACACCTTAGCCAAATACATTTAAACTCAGTTTTTCACAATTCCTGACATTTAATCCTAGTAAATATTCCTTGTCTTAGGTCAGTTAGGATCACCACTTTATTTTAAAAATGTGAAATGTCAGAATAATAGTAGAGAGAATTATTTATTTAAGCGTTTATTTCTTTCATCACATTCCCAGTGGGTCAGAAGTTTACATACACTCAATTAGTATTTGGTAGCATTGCCTTTAAATTGTTTAACTTGGGTCAAACGTTTCGGGTAGCCTTCCACAAGCTTCCCACAATAAGTTGGGTGAATTTTGGCCCATTCCTCCTGACAGAGCTTGTGTAACTAAATCAGGTTTGTAGGCCTCCTTGCTCTCACACGCTTTTTCAGTTCTGCCCACAAATTTTCTTTAGGATTGAGGTCAGGGCTTTGTGTGAGAGCAAGGAGGCTCCAATACCTTGACTTTGTTGTCCTTAAGCCATTTTGCCACAACTTTGGAAGTATGCCTGGGGTCATTGTCCAAATTTGCGACCAAGCTTTAACTTCCTGACTGATGTCTTGAGATGTTACTTCAATATATCCGCATCATTTTCCTTCCTCATGATGCCATCTATTTTGTGAAGTGCACCAGTCCGTCCTGCAGTAAAGCACCCCCACAGCATGATGCTGCCATCCCCGTGCTTCATGGTTGTGATGGTGTTCTTCAGCTTGCAAACGTTCCCCCTTTTTCCTCCAAACATAACAATGGTCATTATGGCCAAACAGTTATATTTTTGTTTCATCAGACCAGAGGACATTTCTCCAAAAAGTACGATCTTTGTCCCCATTTGCAGTTGCAAACTGTAGTCTGACTTTTTTATGGCGGTTTTGGAGTAGTGGCTTCTTCCTTGCTGAGCGGCCTTTCAGGTTATGTCGATATAGGACTCGTTTTACTGTGGATATAAATACTTTTGTACCTGTTTCCTCCAGCATCTTCACAAGGTCCTTTGCTGTTGTTCTGGGATTTATTTGCACTTTTCGCACCAATGTACGTTCATCTCTAGGAGACAGAACGCGTCTCCTTCCTGAGCAGTACGACGGCTGTGTGGTCCCATGGTGTTTATACTTGCATACTATTGTTTGTACAGATGAACGTGGTACCTCCAGGCGTTTGGAAACTGCTCCCAAGGATGAACCAGACTTGTGGAGGTCTACAATTTGTTTTCTGAGGTCTTGGCTGATTTATTTTCATTTTCCCATGATGTCAAGCAAAGAGGCACTGAGTTTGAAGGTAGGCCTTGAAATACATCCACAGGTACACCTCCAATTGACTCAAATGATGTCAATTAGCCTATCAGAAGCTTCTAAAGCCATGACATAATTTTCTGGAATTTTCCAAGCTGTTTAAAGGCACAGTCAACTTAGTGAATATAAACTTCTGACCCACTGGAATTGTGATACAGTTCATTATAAGTGAAATAATCTGTATGTAAACAATTGTTGGATAAATGACTTGTGTCATGCACAAAGTAAATGTCCTAACCGACTTGCCAAAACTATAGTTTGTTAACAAGACATTTGTGGAGTGGTTGAAAAACGAATTTTAATGACTTCAACCTAAGTGTATGTAAACTTCTGACTTCAACTGTATATACACTGTCTGGTAAGTGGTTATTGACATAACAATGTTTTTTTTTTACTGTCATTTGCCTAATGTAGAGTGATCTCTTTCAGGCCTACACTGTACAAAACCAATATGGCATTCCACATACAGAGGTAAGTGGGGTTATAAATACAGTAGTTATATATAGTAACCTAACTATCCCACTGTAATGTTATGTAGCCCTTTCCTTCAGTCAAATTACCTAGTGGCCTTATGGATGCAATATTATAAAACATTTTTTTTTTTTTTTACAGCCGAAAATCCGGTGTTTCTATGTCAAACAGTTTTGTTATATTTTAGTTTTCTGTGATATACAGTATATAAAGTGTAATATTGGGATGCAAACTCAAAATTGAATACATTTCAACTCTATATCTGACATGGTACACGTGTTCTCTTTTTTGTAACCCCATAACCATGAGTGTGAGGTGAAAAGTTTTTTTTTTTTTTTTAAGCCTACCGAGAATCACTCTGTGTGACCCTGATTTAGCCCACTACAGTAAAAGGTTAACATATATTTTGGATATGCTCTTTCTTCCTGTATCTCAGTTGGCCAAGCTACATCAGCTATCCATGCAGCAGAACATGCAACAGAGTCCCATGTGCCAGCAGGCTACAACCGTTCTACCTGGTATGACTTTACTTTACGTAGCCCAAATGGCAATCAAATACATTTAACTGTAGGAGACGTAGGCAGCATGCAGCGAAACTGAACCTGACGTCCTCTCTTGATGGCTGATGATACTCCAAAGTGAACATGATACACTAGCTACACTAGAGCTAGATTTTTTCTTGACGCTTACTGTAATGATCTTATATTCTATTAGTCATATTTTCCTATCAGCTGCCAAATATCAGTAACATCAACAGTTTGCGGGGAAAGATGAGCAGTAGAGATAGAACATCTCCTGTTACAACAACACTAAGTGAAGGGATCCATGTCATAAGCCCAGCTGATTATGTGCTTGTGGCAGTGAAGATGAGAGGAAGCTCCCTACAGCTCTCCATATCTGGCAGTGAAAAGCGAAACTATTATAAGAAATGATGTGTTCCGCCACAGTATCAGAGAGCCTGGAGAAATGTGGCATGTTAAACATAAGTCTATAAAAATGGAAATTAGCTGCTTAGCTACATCTAGCCATTATACCACCAAAAGTATTTATCATGTAGCATGTCAATTATGCTGGTTTCAGTGGAGGCTGCTTTGGGGAGGACGGCTCATAATAATGGCTGGAACGGTGTGAATGGGATGGCATCAAACCCATGGAAACCACGTATTTCTCTCCAGCCATTACCACGTTCCCGTCCTCCCCAATTAAGGTGCATACCAACCTCCTGTGGCTGGTTTTCTTAAACTGCAAGCCAAATGTAATGGATTAATATATGAATGACTGTATGAAAGTGTTTGTTAAGTTACATATTTTCTCTCACTAGGAATGGACTCAAACTCCCAGACATCGCAGGAGCTCCTTATTCCAAATGATGTGAGCAGTTAATTAAACATAATATTACATTCTACATTTCAATTCTTTTTTTCAGATATCCTCTGGGTTAAGTCTATTCATAAGGTGAATTGAACTTCCAATAAAATTCTAGGAAATTAGAAAAATACTAATTGAAAATAATTGGCACTTTTCAATCATTGAATGTGAATTTAAATTAATCTCCTAAATTGACTGAAATTAAATGGAATTTACCCTCAACCCGAATGCTGTTATCCAGAATAATCTACTCTAGGCATCATACCAAACAACACATCAAACAGCAGCATAAGCAGAAATATCACATTGCACATAACAGCTCATAGAAGCAGGTGACACCAGCTAGACAGATGCTCAAGGGCTCAAGGCGGGCGAGAGACTGTGGTCTTGGGTAACTTCAAAGGAGAGAAGGGGATGCATCTTGGCAACATACTAATTATCCAAGTCATTATAACCCCAGACTAACCCAAGGTCGTTGGGATTTTGAGCCGATATGGATCCCCTAGTGTTATTGTCTGGGTTCCAGTTGCAGCGTCTCGGAGTGACTCCCATGAGTACCCAGTAAATCCTCTCATGTTCTCTGACCTACTTAGACACTCTCTCTCTCTGCTGTCAAAACAGCCAATAAAAAACAGACAGAGATCCTCTCCCTCTCACTCAGACGCCGCATGTGATGCCTCTCCAATCAGAGCAAGAGACGGAGATGCTGGAATACATTCGGAAAGGAAGACTACTCGGATTGCCCTCTGTGATGATCTAGCACTGGCTGTCCAACTATGTGAATGGATCAGAGACTTCATGTACTCTACAATCTTGAAATGAATCACACATGACAGAATGCAATAAGCTCTCCTGTTCAAGATGGCCAACCAGACATAACTCTTGGACAACGTCACCAAAATGCCTGAGTTGTTCCCCCCAGCAAACCCTTAAATACCAAACCTTCCAATCCGTCAGTGGAATGGCTGGTGCTGTAGAGTGGGGTGTATGACTTTGACAACCGAGTCTAAGCCCCAGCCATTGTTCCAGAGAGGACATGGCTGAGCTCTCTCTCTCTCTCTCTCTCTCTCTCTCTCTCTCTCTCTCTCTCTCTCTCGGCATAGCAGAATCAGACCAAAGACTGCAGGATTCAAGATCCATTCCTAGAGCTGCAGTGGGAGATTTAGGCTGGGTCCGTCTCAATAGTCTGAAACAGTTTCCTCGCCTCATCAGCTTTCTTTTATCTTCATCTGCACTGATCTGAATACACAGAAGAGATGAAAGCAATATGTGCACATACCAGTTATTTGCTTTCCCCTGTCCTGCCCTTCCATAAGACTGCAGCTGAAGAAAAGGAGATGAGGAAAAGAGGCCACATATACTATTGAGATGCACCATTAGGGTACAGAGAGAGAGGCATTGAGGAAGAGCTTAGACACAGTCAGCAATATACTGTAATTCTACCTAGGGAAGATTTAGCCTGGATAAAAATGGTGACTCGCCCACTACATCCTTCTTCCTGTGTCATTTTCCAAATTACTACTTCAGCAGGAATTCTCAGAAAATACAGGCCAGTTACACAGTAGCAGCTGAGGTGATACAGTTGAGGTGAGGCATGCAGTGTTACTGTACTGTGTATGCCCTGCTTAGCACTGGTAATCACCAGCGTACACAATGTTCTATTTGCTGCATGGTATTTACCTGGCTCTACACTAAATCAGGAAGCCCCTAGAGCTCCTACACATACCTCTGAAATTGGCCCTTCAGACATTCAAAACGAGCCTTCTACTCAACATTGTTTGGGGATTACAACGGTCTAAACAGGAGTGTTCCTATACTAACAATGAACTTTGTTTATAACAATCAATGTATTATAAGCATCAGGATGAATTGGTTCAGGTTTGCTCAGAATGAATGGATTGTTCTGAGGTACTGATTCTCCCTCCCAGCAGGGGAGAGTACTGGTCAAATCGCTGATCCCAGGTCTGTGCTAGTGGTGCTCATTGTCTCCCTGGGCTGCTCTTTAGCCTGGCTGGGCTGTGCCAGTGCCTAGCTAGCTGCTCCCAGAATAATCTGCTGTGCCAAGAATAGCCAGGGAGACCAACCAGGACGCTGTGTGACCAATCAGATGCTGCGAAACAGGACTGTGACTTAGCAAAGGAATGTAAAATACAGAGAGAAGGACAGGAGCAGGAGAACAGTGTACGTGTGTGTGTGCGTGTGTGTGTGGCAAAGGGGCCACTATCAGTCATCCATTATTAAGCTGCCAACACACACATACTGGAGGTACTCCATCACTGTCAAGGCCTCTCACCGTATATCTGACAGCATAGCCTTGCCTCTGTGGCCTGACACCCTGCACTCAGGCTTAGACCCTTGGCCTAGACTCTGATCCTTAGGCCTAGCATGATCCTCCGGCCTTGGCCCTGCTAAGCATGTATTGTTCGCTAACGGCAAGAAACACAAACCTAACATCTTCTAAGACGCCATATGAACTCATGTTAGCATCTTATTAACTAATGTCAGCAAAAAGAGACAACACAAACTGTCCGGATTGTAGATCATGTTTTGAATTATGTTCCTAATACGTTTTCCATTAGCCAAGAGATGCTTCTCTTCTTGGTCGTGTTTGGGAAGTGATTTGTTTGGGAAGTTGCCACGGCAATGGAAATCAATAACCTTTTAGCTACTCAGATTAATAAGAGGCAAATATGCAGACTCTCTCTACCCTGTCTGTTTTACCAGGGCACGGAGCACTGCAATTAAGGAAGAGGTTGGAAAAACAGTGTATTTGACATGCGTGATAGATGACAGGGCCATTGTATACAAACAATGTGATCACAATGTTTAGAGAGGAGTGCATTTCATACACAGACTGTAGAAGACCAACAATAACATTTTCAACACCAGCTTTCGCAATTATTGTTAGCATTTGTAATAATTATTAGTAGTTACCATCATCAACACCACTATCATATAGCCTACATTAGCTTTGTTTGATGTATTGCAATATTGAGACTCTTGAAACAACTCCCAAAACAATGTCAATGTAAAAAATAACTCTTAGGCAATCTGAACGCAATCTTGTGATTCAAATCTCTGCGTAAATAGATATCCACTGGATATAGCTGTCCATCCATCCACCCCTCCACCCCTCCATCCATCCATCCATCTATTGTTCTATCTCTTGCAGCTGATAGGCTCGATCATCGGCCGGCAGGGCACTAAGATCAATGAGATCAGGCAGGTGTCGGGGGCTCAGATAAAGATCGGGAGCCAGCTGGACGGAACCAGTGACCGGCACGTCACCATCACTGGCACACCAATCAGCATCAACCTGGCCCAGTACCTCATCACCTCCTGGTAAGGCCATTGGCCAATGCGATCCAGGCTAACCAAGAGGGGATTCGGCAGGGAGAGGGAATTCTGTTTCCATAACAGTCCAGGTTAAAGGTTAAATAACTTGGTGATAGGCAGTAATGAGGTCATTGTGTTCTTGTTCTGGTAATAACCCCTTAGATAATTCATACACCTGTATTGTATTGCATTGTACTGTATTGTATTGTAAGCCACTCTTCTCTCTCCATAGTTTAGAGACAGCTAAATCCACGGCCCAGGCAGCGTCCATGGCCGCCCCCAACATGGCTGACCTCAATATGGCCTTCACACAGCCCGCTTCCCCGGCCTCCCCCCACTCCGCCTCCACCCTGGCAGCCATGGGTGCCCTGTCCCCCACCCCCGTCATAGGCCACCCCTACGGCGCCCTGCCCTTCTCCAGTCTGCTAGGGGTCAAGTCTGTCCCCTTCCTGACTCTCTCTAGCCCCGCCCCCCAGGTCGCTGTCACCGCAGCCCCCTCCCACGCCACCCTGGCGGCCTACACTGCCAAAATCTCCTCGGCCAACTGCATCAAGAAACCCGACAGACAGAAGTTTGCACCCTACTGATGCTACATGCTACATCACGCTAGCCTCTGCCTTCTTCTGGAGGCTGAAATGAAGGACAGCTGTCTATTATGGTTGCATCTCAAATGGCACCCTATTCCCTACATAGTGAATAGGGTGCCATGTTCTTCCAGTCAAGCCCTGATGTAGCCATATCTGCTGACAGAGATTATCTTGGCTGTACTTTAGAATTCACCACAAGGAAGAGACCAACGCAGATTTGGACGTTAGCTATCATAAGGTATACTATACATTACATATATAGATGATTTGTGATTTCCCCATGAATTTATGGACTGCTTTCACCCCCCACCTCATTCTACTGTTATTTATCGCTTATAAAGAGCACAGTCCTAACTTCGGAATTGCACTAACTTGGAATTTCATGTAAATCATGCACTGATGTGATGGTAAGTGTGCGTCTCAAGTTAGGAATAGGTCCGAAAGTATTTATCCTTCAGTAAGTTTGTAAATTATACTCTGATATGGATGGCTGCTCAACTGTATGATGCTTTTATACAATGTCTGTGTTTGCTTCTTGAAGTTTTTAAGAAAATCTGTGAAGGTTTGGGAGGAAAAATATTGTTTGTTTTTTATGCCTTTGTGCTATAGCTAGTACTGTACTGTTCAGTGTTATATTTGTTTTGTTTGAAATGTTGAACTTGTTTTATCTTATTTCTTTGTATTGTTTTGTTTATTAAAAGTATTTGTTTCTTGAGATGGCTGCAGGTATGTGTCTCCCTTTAAACAGAACCTTTGTCCATTGAAGGTGGAGTCTGCAACTTCTTTGTTGCCTGTGGCCATGAGATGAAATGCTCAAACAGTCAATGTGCAAACCAAAACACACTCAAAAACAAATATAAGCCAATCAGAGTGCTTCAAACATACTGCAAAATACATGAAACACCCAAGTAATGGTATTTTTTCCTATAGAGATCATCTATTTGAAACCACAGTGAAGAAGGCACTTGTGAAGCCACTTTACACACCATATAAAAATGACGCAGCACCAATTGTCCTCCAGCCAGGTTATTTTTATTTCCCCCCTAACTGTCACGAGACGGTGGGTGGCACGTCATTCCAAATGCCAGGTTTTTTGAGGGATGCTCATTGCATCATTGTGCTCTTGTCCCCCGAACAATAACCGCAGTGTGAGACAGGCAGGCTCCTCAACCCCACTGGAGCAGAGGGCTCCGCCTGCATTCACAAATACACAGCACACACAGACAGAGTTACTACGTACACACACACTGCACACACACTTGGACGGTGAACTCACACGCACGCATATTTACATTTTTACGTTTTAGTCATTTAGCAGAAGCTCTTATCCATAGCGACTTACAGTTAGTGCATTCATCGTAGGGCAGCTAGGTGAGACAACCACATATCACAGTCATAGTAAGTCAAATGTTTCCTCAATTAAGTAGCTATCAGCAAAGTCAGTGCTAGTAAGGAAAGACAAGGGCGAGAGTTTGCGCAAGAAAAGTGGTGCTCGTTCCACCATTGGGGTGCTAGGACAGAGAAGAGCTTTGACCGGAAGCTGACCTCCCCGGGTTGGAGGGCCAAGAGACCAAAGGTGGCAGAATGGTGTGCTCGGGTTGGGTTGTAGGGTTTGAGCATAGCTAGAAGGTAGGGAGGGGCAGTTCCCCTTGCTGCTCCGTATGCACACACACACACACACACTCAGATACTGTGCACACACATACTAATTCAGATACTGAACACACACAAACTCAGATACTGTGTACACACACACACTGTGACCGCACACACAAAAACACACACATACGCTCAGATCACACACACACTGATCAACTGATGCTCAGAGATGAGGGTGCAGGTGGAGAGAGCAAGGAAGATAAGGGAACATGCAGTGACAACTGGGAGGCAAAATACTGTAAAATTCAGCAACAGCATCAACATGCACCACAGCATCGTCATCCTCTGGAGAGAAAACCAGCCTTGTTTCCTTCCACTCTTAGAAGACTTCTCAGTGGGATCGACAGAAGGCCTTGACGGCGATGTGTCGTTACTGTTGCCATAGATATTCACTTACACATGGTCTCAGAGGCATGCAACAATATCACCCTTTCACCAGGCTGTGACATCCCTTTGTGTAAATTCAACTGAGAGTCTTCAAATTATCCAGTTTCTTTGCCTACTGTAGAATTGGATCTCTCTCCCTCCCTCCCTCTCTCTGTCTCTCTCTCTCCTCTCTACAGCCTAATTCTGCTCCCTGAGCGTTGAGCCAAAGGTCATAAAATATCCATGCCCTCAATGGTCTGTCTACCTCCCGCATCCCTCTCGATCTCCCTCTTTCTCCTCCCCCTTTTCTCTCTTTCTTGCTCCTCCTCACTCACACCCTATTTCTCTTCCTCTCTCATGTTCTTACTAAGATCTCTCACTGCACACAAGAATAAAAAAACATTGATTCATACATACACTGAAAGCAAAACATCACTATCTGGCGTTATCTACACACCAGACAGTACTATATTTGAGTATGTTCACATCCCAACACTACATCATTAACAAATATTGAAAATGTATCTCATACTTTGTGCTCTGTACAAACGCTCATACTGTAGATATGAATGAGAATGCACAGGAGCACTTCCCTCAGACACTTGTGCCACCTGCAGGAACAAGTATACACAGCACCATTGAATGCACTGCTACCTAGGTCTGCTACCTAGTCTAATGCAGTTTGACAGCTAACTGATGGAGTGAATTGAACAGCCGTTGACCTTTATCGCACAATCTATCCATCTCACTCTCTCTCTCTCCCCCTCAATTCATTCAACACCCTGTACAGGCCTCCTGTTTTCTATGTATGTTACATGGAAAGAGTTTGGAATGAAAATCAAATGAGAATAACTGAGCTGTGATGTCAGACCAGAGTAGCTATCCTACCTTTATTATTCAGGTTATTTTTCCTAATGTATTGTACATTTTGTGGAAACAACTGTCCCCTCTGAATAGAGTGTAGAGTTTGTATTATTTGCTGCCTGAAGCACAGGAGGGAGGAATTGTATAGGCTAAAGCATCTTCTAGGGTCTGCTATGGACCCAGGGGCCCGAAGTGAAACCTTTCATAACACACACGCACGCACACACACACATTCATGTACGCACACTTTCTTACTTGCTTATTGCTGCGTAATACACACATACCCACACGGTATGGGTGACTATAACTGTTGTGTAGGCAACACAATGCAGTTAGTGGCAGGTAGCTTAGTGGTTAAGAGCGTTGTGCCAAAAACCGAAAGGTCGCTGGTTCTAATCCCCCTAGGTGAAAAATCTGTCGATGTGCCCTTGAGCAAGGCACTTAACCCTAATTTCTCCTGTAAGTCGCTCTGGATAAGAGCGTCTGCTAAATGACGTAAATGTAAATCATGACAAAAGCATCAAAGACAGTTTTGTATACCTATCAAAGACCTGAAAGATTCTCTAGAGCGTCTGCTAAATGTAAATGTACTTTTCCTGCAAAAACAAAGCATAGCAACTTCTAAAAGGTGGATGGAGATGGGTAGTTAAGGACATTTCCACTGACGTCTGGCTTTATACAAACAAAGCATATTGTGTACATGTCCTAAAGGAAGTTTCCATGTTGTTTTGCATAGGCTCCTAGTCAACTTGAACTTGAGATTGAGAGTGCATTTTCTAGATCAACATATAGCACGTTCATATACCACAACTTTACAACAGTTGTAGACTTTACCGTGAAATGCTTAATTAAGAGCCCTTCCCAACGATGCAGAGATAAAAATAAGAAAAAATAAATAAATAACACGTTGGAATAAAATACACAACAATTTAGCTATATACGAGGAATAAATACACAATGAGTAATGATACCTTGGCTATATACACAGGGTACCAGTACCATATCAATGTGCAGGGGTGCAAGGTATTTGAGGTAGATATGTATATAAAGGCAGGGGTAAAGTGACTAGGCATCAGGATAGATAATAGTAACAGTAAAATAAAGAACAGAGTACCAGCAGCATATGATGAGTGTGTGCGTGTGTGTGCGTGTGTGTGTATGTGTGTATGTGAGTGTGTGTGTGTGTGTGTGTGTGCGTGGTGTCGATATGTGTGTGTGTGCGTATGTATATAGTGTATGGGTTTGTGTGAGAGTGTCAGTGTAGTGTGAATGTAGCTTTGCGGTCGAGTGTAGTGCAATGGCCATACCAAGCGATGATGCAGCCATTCAAGATGCTCTCAACGGTGCAGCTGTAGAACTTTTTGAGGATCTGAGGGCCCATGCCAAATCTTTTCAGCCTCCTGTTCCAGCCCAGCATTAGCATACCTGATTCATATTTTAAAAAATATATTTGAAGCATTTAACTGGTTGAATCAGGTGCGCTAGTGCTGTGACTTTGAGTAGAGATGTTATTACATCTGAAGTGGCTGTCATTTTTATTTTGTCCTCAATGCCATGTGAACACGCTTAATAACGTGCCACTGAAGAAGAAAAGATATGATGATAAATATGGTGTATTTGTATACATATTAGTGCATCTTTGAATGATAAGCAATGTACTGCACAAGGTACAGAAGCAGCATATTTACAAAAGAAGGGAAACAACTATTTACCTAACAAAGTGTGTTGTTTTAGTCTTTTCAAGGTTTGTCCAGGTGTCACCCAACATGTGTCTGTGGGGGCGGGGGGTAGGGTAAGGGAGAGGAAGGGGGATATACACAATATCATTAGCAGAGACGGAAAAGCTTTGGATCTGGAACCTCAGCCATTCTCTTTGTAGGTAAGCAGTATTCCCTTTTATTAATAAGACTGGTATGCTATCTTGACTCGGTTATATTAAGGTATTCAAAAGAAACCTGATATATTAAAGAATCAAACTTTGAAAAGAATCATAATCATAATGACAAATGCTATAGAAATAAATATCAATCCATTGTCACTGGCACTATCTTAGAATGTAATAACTGACATTTGAACGTTCAATGTTGAAAAGGGAGGAATTATATAGTGTG